TTTTTGGTGGACAGATACTGTACTAAATCGTTTGTCCCACAAGTTAGGTCAGAATCAGTACTCAATTGGCGCTGCTGCTGTTCGATTTTAGTACTGCGTCTGCACATAATTGTGGTACAATATCTGTCCCTCAAAAAATGCAGATGTTGCGTTAAACTTCTCTCAGTGCTGGAATCAAAGAAAAGATTAGTACTTAATTTCATACAATTTTAATATTTAAAAATCATTTCAATCTGAAATCAGTCGTCAATAAAATTTCAAAAATCATCGTTATTTAAGATTTTGTCTCTTAGGGCAGTGTGCGATTCATAACTCCGAAGTTTCGTCATAATATCAGCCACTTGCTTCTTTGAAGGAACCCACTCAATAATCACTCCATTATATTTAACACAATCTTGAACATAGTCCATATTAACTTCTGTCATGTGTCTCAACATGTTACCTCCACTCGTTTGAGCGCAGATAGCTGCCGCCTTGTTGTCACATCGTAAGGTGGCTGGAATTAAACTCTCATTATTCAATCGCATCAAAGATATATTGATCGCAATAAGTTTCTGGCAAGTCTGATTCTTAGCCACATATTCGGCCTGACAAGTAGACAAAGCAACATATTTTTGCTTAGTTACTCGCTACGAAATCGTGTCTCCATATAGTTTAATGATATAACCACAAGTGGAAACGGACGATTTGCAGCAACAAACCCTGTTGTCTTCCAAGATAATTCAATCCCAGAGTTTTCGTTCCTTTTAAATATTTGAACACTCGTTTAACCATATTCCATTCGTTCTCTGTTGGATCAATTTGGTGTCTACGGAGTACGTTTACAGCGAAAGCAATGTCTGGACGAGTAGCACCAGCTAAATACAATAAGCTACCAACAGCCTCTCTGTATGGAATATGTAAAGTGCCTTCGTCAATGTTTTCATTGTCATTTTCTCGTTGTTGTCTTTCGTGATTTTCCACTTGACGTGTGATCATAGGGGTGTTTTGCGGGTATTCGTTTTCAAAACCAAACTTAATCAGGATTTTATCAATAAATTTCTCCTGATTAATCGTCATCACTTTCGTTTCTCTATTTCTTTGTATGTTCATACCTAAGAAACATTTTGATTCCCCCAGATCAGCCATTTTAAAGACTTTCATCAATTTAATTTTGATTTCATGAGACAATTTCTTATCGTTGCTTGCCAATAATATGTCATCGACATAGGTTAGCATTATAACTTTCGTTTCTCCAGAATTCTATGTGAACAGACAATGATCATTTGTCAGTCCCATAGAATTCGCAACTTGTGTAAATTTTTCATTCCATCGTTTAGGACAAATTCTTAGTCTATAAAGGGCTCTGAGAATCTTACACACTTTTGTTCGTTTTGTTTCCTCTGATACTTCCATTCCCTCAGGAATCTCCATGTACACTTCGTCTTAAATTATTCCATGAAGGAAAGCAGTTTTAACATCGAGTTGACAAACTTCTAAATCATAAAAGTTAATCATTGCTAAAACTGTTTGCACAAGGGTTAGTCTGGAACCTGGTGCATATGTTTCCTTTAAATCGTACAAATTTGTGTCTTTAAACCCTTGTATGACCAATCTCGTTTTAAATTTAATATCACTGCTGCCATCCTCCTTTTGTTTAAACACCCATTTAGAGTCAATTATGTTGGGGTTTTCCCCATTTTTTCCAAGTTTAGGTCGATTTACTAGACTCCATACTTCATTCATTTTCAAGGAATTTAATTCGTCATTTATTGCATGAAGCCATTCTTTGCATTTATTTGCATGAAGCTCTCCCTCCATTTCGAGTTGCCGTTTACGTGGTCTGCCTCGTTTTTGTTTAACTTCTTCCTCCGATCCTGAAAACCTACAATCGTTTGACAGTTTCATTAATTCATCCTGTTCGAATTTCAGAAACCACTCGTTTTGGGATGGCCAGCTTTCAGAATCAGGTCAGCCTCGAATGGAGTCTTTTTCATATTTGTCACCATAGACCAATTTTTCGTTAAATCTTACATTTCGCGATTTGCAAAACTTGCCCGATTCAGGGTTCAGAAAGATGTAGCCTGAGCCATTATATCCAACCAGAACTCCTCGGACAGCTCTAGCAAAAAAAAAAATTAGGTGCAAAGATTTCGAGAGGAGCCTTGAAATCATTTGACCTATGAGGAGTCCGATTGTAAACATATACGGCTGCTCCCAAGGCTAAATCCCACATGGTTTGAGGAAGTTTCGAGTCAAACATAATGGATCTTATCTTTTTCTGAATGGTTTGATTAAACCTCCTTTATTTTGAGGAGTATCTGGGCAGGCTGTTTGATTTTCAATACCCTCTCGTGCTAATACTTCTTGGGTATAGCCTCCCATATACTCAGTACCTTGATCGGATCGAAGGTAACAAACTTTCTAATTTGTTCCTAATAAATTTCGCGCAGACATAATAAAACATTCTAAACAATAACCAGTAGCATCCTTTGTCTTCATAGGATATGCTAGGGCCATTCGTGAATAGTCATCTATAAATAGAGAAATGTACTGATAACCGAAAGAGTGGGTTGATGGAGAAATCTTTCCCATGACATCTGAGTGGATTATCTGCAATGGTCTTACTGCTCTACTTTGTTGAGTTTGAAACGGTAATTTGGATAATTTCATTAATGCACAAATTTCGCATTCTCTTATACTATCTTCAAAAACTACACTCTGTAAATCTTTATTATCTTCCACAAACTTTGTAGTTTTCGTAAATAATTCATAGATGCATGGCCCATCCTCACCTGGCACAACAAAGCTTTGTTTGCCCTTACGGTAAAACAAATGACGCTTATTCGAAACAAAATCGTCATCTAACAAATCAATGGATGGTAGTTCATACAAATTTGTTATTTTTCTTTTTGTTAGATTTGTATCAAAATCTGTAAAAATAAAGGGATCATTCGTAATATTTTCTTTTGTAGTCTGTTCACAAACATTATCAACAGGGGGCTCCACCTTTAAGTTAACAGATTCTAATTTGTCGCGAGTCTCGTTCTTCGTTTTGTTATGGTCATCATTTGAAGATGAATTGTTCTTACAATCGTTATTAACCGTTGTTTCATTAAGTTCAGTCGTACAATTCTCATCAATTTTTAGTTCGTTTTGATTAACCACCGTTGTATCGACAACAAATACACCGGAAGAGTCTACTCGTTTACTTTCGTTTTTCTTGTCAACCTGAAATTCCATAATCCAATATGGTTTGTCGTAAACTCCTGATGCGAAAACCTCTTTTGTTTTTGGATCATAAATATTAATACATTCGATGTCCAAGTGTGTTGATAAACCCACATCCGCGAATTTTCTCAGCGAAAGTAAGTTTTCTGAGAGCAAATTTATATAAATAGTGTTGTCTAAAACCAGCGATTTTTTGTTGTCTGAGTTCGAAATGATATTTATAGAGCCTTAACCCTCAGCAACCAAGCCAGCTTCGTTATTTTTATTAGCACACTTAATTATACTTGTTTTTGTTTCTTCAAGAGAACTGAAAACATATTTAGTATTTGTTAAGTGCTCAGTTGCTCCCGAATCGACAATAAAAAATAATAATAATACACGGTTTGATTAATAGACGATAAAAAGAAACTTTATTCGTTAAGGGGAGGGGGTATGGTTATTTCGATGTAAAAAAGGCACTTATTTAATAATTTTTTTCGGTGATATAAAGTGTGTAACTTTATTAACTTAATTTCCACATATTAATACAATATTTGAAGTATATTTTCCTAAATTCTCATTGAAACATATTGCAAATAGAACGAGTGGCAGTAAATCTCTTCAGGCGCCTCGTAAAAAATAGATCTGCAATGTTCAACGTAACGTGACCCAAAAACTCAATTTTCGCTGAAAAAATCGATCTATTTTTTACTGTATAACTAATAATTATTAAAAAAAGCTCTCGTACACTGAAAAAGTCTTAAACGATCAGCAGTTCCAACAGTGGAAATGCAGTAGCTCTTTGCTTTGGAGTGTCTGGAGCATGATTTTGAGCAACCTCTATGCTAAATGTTGGGCGAACAGATGTTCCACGTTATTGTTACCAAGATTTGGTGATGCTGCAGCATCAGACTTGGGCACTCAGAGCACCCAAGATGGGAAACAGTTAGCCCCACAATGAAGTTGTGCAGAATCTCTTTATTTGGTGCTTCTCATACATGCGTTGGGAATTCTAAACGCCCAAGACTTTTTCAGTGTAGTTACCTGGAGAATTTAGTCAAGAAGAACTGTGCCAAATTTCAGAACGATTGTTTTAGTAGATTTTGAGATATCGTGAACACGGACTTCAAAAATGTCATTTCGAGAAAAACGCAATTTTAAATTTTGCCAATTTTTGAAATCTGACTTGAGATTTGTAATCAGCGACCCCAAAACTTATACATACACATCAACGACATCAGAAAACATTCAGAAATGTCCGCAAAAGGTTAAACACAAACTAAATTCAAAATTTACGAAAACACAGCCCACGGAGCAACCGACACTTGAATGCTCAAATGCTCATTACTTCGTCAATTTTGCTCCAATCGGCTTCAAATTTTTATCCGATATTCTTGAAATAGTATACATTCACTTAAAAAAATATAAAGAAATGCAAAAAAAATTAAATACCATACCCCCCCCCCCCTTAATAAAGAGAACACACTCGCTCGCCGAGAACAACACTTTCGTTATAGAGGGAGGAAGAGAGCTCAGAGACGGCGCCAGATTTAAACTTGAACTCAATAATTATAATTATTTGTTAGTACCGCGTCAGTACAAAACTTTTTATTTTACGAGTACAGATTTTTAGTTTTATACCCCCTGCGTATTACCTTTCACCACAATATCAGTACCTATATTACTGGCACAGTACTTTGTCAGTAGTAAATTTCCACCTGAGTTATAAACAGTTTCACTGTTAGAAATATTTTAAAATTTCAAAAAATATAAATACAAATGAAAGTGAAAAATAATTGCATTCGCGTTAGTTGCAGCTATCTGGAGAAGAATTGCATTCAGTCAATGAACGGGATAGTGGTGCTGGTATTGGAAGTAGTAGTGATATTGCCTCGCCATTAACTGCAAGATCACTGAGATTAGAAAGAGTTGTCCAAGCACTAGCTCACAGTCAAGAAGAGTTAAGAAGGTATTTATATCTTTAAATTATATAAAGCGATTTTTACCCTGCCTATTCAAAATTATTTTAACTTATTTATGGGGTAAAATTCCTGTAGCATTCTAAGTGAAAAAAAGTTGATCAGATCGGGCTGTAACTTGCACATAGTTTAGCCCTAAGGGTGAGTACTTTAACCACGAAGGATTGTTAGGTTTTTTCAAAAACTGTAGGAGAGGGAGGGGGTTGGATTTTTTTAAAAAATTTAAACATTCGAATGGTGCAAAAATGTTTTCAAAAAAATCAAAATTTGATCCTTATTTTTTAATCAAAAATTTTTGTCACGTTTTTTAAGTTCAGTATTTTTGTTATTAATTTCTTTTATTTTTTTGAAAGTTAAAAATGTGTATTTTTATATCAAAAAATATTGAGATGTCCTTTTTTGTTATTTTCGAGATATTAATTAATTAATTAATTAATGTTAATAAAAAATGAAATTTTTCTTAAATAAATAAAGTTATTGCAAATCTGAAAATACCAATTGAAAGCTGATGTAATTCCGCATCCAACGAGCCCTATATGAACTATTTTGGATTAAAGGATTTTCTATAAATAATTGCCATGTTAGCCAATTGTTTATTAACAATTCACTAATCCAAAATACTTCATATAGAGCTCGTTGGATGCGGAATTATGTCAAGTTTCATTTAGTAACGTCAGAATTACGGTAACTTTATTAGTTTATAAAAATTTGGTACTTGGGGGTTTTTTGGGTCGCAGAATCCGAATTTAAAGTCAAATTTTGATTCAGCGACCCCAAAAACCCTAAAGAAACCATTTTTATGCAAATCTAGTCAATTTTTAAATTTTTTGGATGCCATATTGGGTCCGCCATTTTGAATTTTTTAAATCTGACCTTAAAATCGAATTCAGCCGCCCCGAAAACCTTAGTATATCTGTTACGGGCAATGTGCGGGAGGCGGGCAATGTCCGAGAATGCCCGGGCATTGTCGACAATGCCCAAAATCAGTGGGCATTGTCGACATTGCCCTGTTTTTTTCGGTCAATGTCGAAAATTATTTATAAAATTCTGTTTTCTGGGCAATGTCGACAATGCCCAGTCCATTTTGGGCAATGTTGAAATGCATAAAATTTTTTAATAAAAAATAATTTGTAATATAAGTAAATATTTCATCACTTGTTAAAACTGAATAATTGAATAATATAATCAATTTAACGCTGTTTACTAAATTCTGAAGAATTTTTATTTGTGCAGTCAATTCAATGGATTTATTTGCAATCATTTTGTGTGCCCCAAAAGGAGGACTTTTCGTCATTTTACGATATCAAACATAAGTATAGACTTCATTGTGATACTCGGCTGTAATTCTTAATTTTTAATATTTAATGTACTAAAATAATGTTTTATAATTGTAAAGAAAAAAGTTTTAATAAATTTTGTACTTAATTATCAATTAATTTTATTATTTCTACAAAAATATTAATTAAGGTGAGAAAAATTTATTTGATCAACGCTTTGTTAGTACAACAAATTATTTTGCTGTCAAAAAAACGGACAGACAATTGTGCTTACATGTCTTGTGAGGAATATGAAAGTTACATTAAAAAAGTGGACCAATTAAAGTTATGCGAAAAAAAGGATTCGAGGAGTTACAGATTTTTAAAAAAATACGACACAATTTCCGTGAACGGAAACAAGAAATTAATTAGACCTATTAACAGTGACAGTGAAAATAAATATTTCGGGCATTATTTTCTTTTACTTATTATTATTACTTATTTATAATAAACAACATTGCCCAAAAATTAGTGGGCAATGTCGAAAAGGCCCGGGCATTGTCAACCTTTTGTAAACGTTTTTAAAAATAAGTGGGCAATGTCGACAATGCCCACTGATTTTGGGCATTGTCGACAATGCCCGGGCATTCTCGGACATTGCCCGCCTCCCGCACATTGCCCGTAACATATCCATTGAAACTCAAATCGAATTATGTTTAGAATTTTTTTCTAATGTGGACATATATGTCCAAAATCACAAAGGTGGCACGACTTTTATTGGATATATATGGGCCATCGACTGTCAAGAGGTTAAAATGAATCTATAAGGAATCCTCATAAGATCCTTTGTAAGATCTTACATGGGATGCGTTTAAGGAAGGTTCCAGACAACATACAACATTACTGTACGAATTTGGTTCAGGCAATGTTACAGGAAACTATATTGTTTTCCATATAGTTTCTTACGTAGGATCCTATAAAGGATGTCACAGAAAATAAAAATTAAAAAAATGTTGAATTTTTTTTTATTTATGTCATTGTTGCCTTGCTTATTTTTCGACTTCTAGTATTTTAGAGCTGGGTCGAATTTAGGTAAATCAAATCCGCCAGGGAAAGGACTACAAAACTTCCTCCATGAGGAAGCAAAATACTTCAAAATTTTTTTTAATTTTTATTTTCTGTGACATCCTTTATAGGATCCTACGTAGGAAACTTTATGGAAAACTGTATAGTTTTTTGTAACATTGCCTGAGCCAAATTCGTACCGTAATGTCGTATGTTGTCTAAAAGCTTCCTTAAACGCATCTCATGTAAGATCTTACAAATTATCTTATGGGGATTCCTTATGAATTAGTTTTAAAGGATCACAAGTGGGAAACTTTGTTGGAATTTGTAATAGGGAGGTACACTTTTTACCCTTATAGTAGAGGAAAAATAGATTCGTAGATGCTCTGGATGGTCCTAGAGATCGGTACTTTCAATTACATCTAGATATTCGTTACCAATAACGAAAAATCGTGAAACTTTTGTTTTTGTAATTTTAACTAGTAACAATTGACCCTGTTTTTTTAATTTCTTCCGATTCTGAAGATACTAGACTTTTTTTTGAAAAGCTTTCGCATTTCCTTTTAAAAACGCGATCAGGTTTATGTATCCATTAATCTTTATGATATTTTTAACACTTATAGGGTTTTACAGCATTGAATAAATTGACCACACACGTGGAAAGGTTTCCGGAATTTCTGCGGACAGACTCCGGAAAAAATTTGCGGAGTGACTTCCGAAAAATGTTTCAAACAAATTAATAGTGAATTTGATCTTTTGTTTTCATTCTCACTTTTAATTTTTTTTTTTTATATATTTATTTTAATTTTTTGATTTCCACTTCTCCTAAACTTGTTGGAAAAATGAATGGAATATAGTCTACATGGAATATCAGAAAGTCGACAGATGAGTTTTTAACATTCAGGTTAATTTGAATTAACTTTTTTAGGGAAATTATTATTTTTGGTGATTTTAATTCAACTTCAGTAATTAACCTATTGTCGAACGGATATCCAGGTCAACTTGTGTGAGAAAGTTGACTTACAATGTCAGAAATCGAATTTCAACCAAGTAATTAGTAAAGTCACTAAGTAATTACCAGCATATCCAAGTCAGTTCTGCCGTATAATCGAAATAAGCGTATCTGCTTGACTACCAACTTTACCCTGGCGGCGGATATACGTTTTATCGTACCGCACTCATATTTTTCCTATATATAAAGAAAATGAAACAGCATTCAGCATAAATAGACCTAAATTTTACAATTTTGCAATTATAAAAATGTAATTTTATTGTTATCATTATAAATTAGCTGATACGCTTTCTTACGATTTCAAATATGCTGACGTGCAAATCAAAATAAGCGTATCTGCTGATAATTTTACGCTAAAAACGTAAATGTAACATATGAGCGACTCCACTTCAAGTAATCGCACCGATTTAAGCAATTTTGATAAATTTTTATAATATTGATAATTTGGGTTCCTTTAAGGGCCAAAAAAAGAAATCCTAAGTATTTTGAAAAAATTCAAAATATTTTTCAAAATATTGCACATTTAAATTTTTTGTAATTTTTTTTGATTTAGGTATTATAACTTCTGTAATTTTTAACCAATCAGGATAAAATTTATTTTAAAATACTCGTATTTAGAAGCTCTTTCATGAAAAAAATTTGGAAAAAAATTGAAAAATTTTAATTTTTTTTTAAAAAACAATTTTAATTGATAGTAATAGTGGTGCTAAATAAGTGTACATATTTTGAATTTGAAATTTTTACTATTTTTTGAGATATTTACAATGACAAGTTAGAGCAATATTTTTTTGCTTTACTTATAACTTTTTCCCCACTAAAAATAGAGAGAAATGTTGACAATGTTTTTTACGCAAAAAACCTTAAACATTTAGAAAAAAATTTTAATTTTTAAACAATTTGTTTAAAAAATAAAATTTGTTTATAACTTTTAAACATGTTCTCCCTCATTTTGAAGCGCGATAAAAATCATGAATATTGTTTAAATTATAATAAATCGATGGTTAAATTTTTGAGATAGCATTATTTTTTGTTTTCGGGATATTAATTAATTAACTAACAAAAATTAATAAAAAATGAAATATTTTAAGAAAACAAATAAAATTAGAATAATTTTAAAAATACCATTCCAATGCTTATCGAAATCCGCATCCAACAAGCCTTATATGAACTATTTTGGATAAACGGGTGATACATGTCACTGATAGGGGTGACTAGAATTCATGAAGATAGTCAAAATTGCTTATTCTTCATGAATTTCTTGTCCTTGACTGAGTCATTGTTAACGGGTCTGCTACGCTTTCCAAACCAAACTCCACCGCCGCGCCTCTCTCCTATTTCCCGCTTTTCTCTCCCACTCTCCACGCGTCAGACCCTTTGCTGTCAATGCGTCACTTCTTTAAACCTCAGCGGAGTTTTCAGTTAATTTGTTTATAAAAAAGGTTATGTTCGAGGTTTAATGTTTTTTAATCTATATATATGAATTATAACTTATAATTTATTATAAATAATTATTATATTGTAATAATTTGTGGTTAACTAATTAATAATTATAATTGTTGTTATTATAATAATTGTAATTTTATTGATTGTTAATTATAAATATTATTGTTATAATGATTTATAATTTATTTATAATTTATAATGTTAGATATATATA